CGGGCGGCAATATGATGGACTACGTAACGTGGCGCAAGCGGCCGCCCGCGCAGCTCGTTGCTTTTCTCGAGTCCCGCCGGCCGCCACCCGCGGCGCCCCCGCCGCCCGAGCCGCCGCCCGCGCCCACGTTGCCCGCCGCGGATACGCCGCTTGCGATGCCCGCGCCGATGCCCCTGCCGCTGCCGGTGCCGCTAGCCACGCCCGACTCGCCTACGTCGCTGGTGACGACGACGACCGACTTCGCACCGACTCCATCGGTCGCGTCGACCGTCGCTTCTATTGCTGTTCCCGAAGCACTAGAACCGAAGGGCGCGCTTGTAGTCGCCGCCCCCTCCGCCGCAGCACCCCCCGTCCCCACGTGCGCGCCTGTGGCTGCGCAGGTGATTAGCGCGGCGAGTGCGGCGAGCGCGGCGAGCGCGGCGGACGAGATGGTGGAGAAGGCCAAGCAGGAGGCGTACGTGGCGGCTCGCGTGGCCGAGCTGGCTCGCGCCGGCCTGTGGACGGAGCGCCGGCTGCCGCGCGTGCTGGAGCCACCGCGCCCCAAGACGCATTGGGACTACCTGCTGGAAGAGATGGCCTGGCTCGCCCAAGACTTTTCGCACGAGCGAAAATGGAAAAAACAAGCCGCAAAAAAGGTAAACAGGGTTTTGATATTAAATAAAGTACCAATAATATTAATAAAGTTTTATTGCATAAATTTGGCACCACATAGTTTTTTACATCAATGGCTAACACCCATCCATCCATCCACATCACATCCATCTAAACATTCGCATTTATAATATTAGTAAGTTAAATAAAAAGCAGCTCTTCAAGGTATAAATTCGAAAAAAAAAAATGAATAAATAGTATCTCATGTCCATCTCCATGTTCTAAGCCACCTCCTCACCAATTTTCAACCATATCTGTAAAGTCGTTTTTGAGTTATAAATAATGTAAATAACACGACTTTCTTTTATATATATATTGATAAATAAAAAAATACAAAATACTTACACATGATGTGTTCATATTGCTGATAACGATAACCCACTGATTTTTCTGGCTGTCCGAAAGCCTCCGTTTGTTTTCTGTAATGTCTGGCTGCTACCTGCTACCTGCTACCTTTCCCTCGAACTTCTGTCAAAATAAGTCTATTATAAGTACGGAAAGGTCCGACTCCACGATCCACTCGGGAATCGAGTATTTTTCTTTAAAATTCTGCGCCACTGATGTCGCAAACGCCCGTTATTAAATATATATTTGTGTTATTAACATTTTTGGATCTGTTGTGCTTTTAAATATGAGACATATGTATGTAATGACCGATATAAAGAAATGGTTTAATATTTTGTGTTTCAGTGTGCTAGGGCTGTACAAAAATATTTTCAAGATAAAGCTCTCGCTGCACAGAAAGCAGAAAAAGCCCAAGAACTGCAATTAAAAAAGATTGCGTCATTTGCGGCTAAAGAAATCCGTACATTCTGGTCTAATGTGGAGAAAGTAAGTTTCACTTTCACTGTTTCATATCAAGAATATAATGTATTTCCCAAGTAAAAGTCAAGTCAGTTTATTACAAATTGTTGTAATTTATACCTCCGAACCCACGTGAGCTGCATCACTTGTTAGCTGCAAGTGTACCATCTAATAAACTGATAAACAACAAACAAATACATGATGAGATGACTAAGACTTAGACTAAGAACAATTAGGAAGATAGCTGAGAGCTGTAATAAGTTATTTGTTTATAATTTATTAGCTGGTGGAGTGGAAGCGGGTGCGGCGCGTCGAGCGAGCACGGAAGGAAGCTTTGGACGAACAGTTGAGCTACATCGTGGACCGCACCGAGCGGTACTCGCGCCAGCTCGCCGCCAACCTGACCGCCGCACCCGCCGCACCCCCTGCGCCCGCCGCACCCGCCGCGCCAGTCGCACCCCCCGCACCCGACACGCCGCCCTCCGACGACGAGTTCCAGCCGCGCGGCAGCTCCGACGACGACGAGGAAACCATCGCAGCCGCCGAGCGCGAGGCCGCCCTCGACGCCGCCGACCACCGCGACGAGCTGGAGGAGCTGCGGCGCGAGTCGCACCTGGCGCTGGACGACCTGCTGCCGCCGGGCTACGTGCCCGCGCACTCGCCGCCCCTCTCCGACTACGGGCCCGACGCCGACTCCGCGGACGACGAGGACACCATCGCCGAGCAGGAGCTCGCCGAGCGCGCCGAGGACACCGCGGCGGAGGTGCAGGCGCTGCGCCACGAGGCCGACCTCGACATCGACGAGCTGGTGCGCCGCTACACCGCGCGCGGCGACCACCCCGCCGAAATAGACGGGGGCGCCCACTCGGACGCTCTTTCTGACAACGACTCGGATGCGCATGCAGGGGCCGATGCGGACGATGACAACGGCGATGGCGATGATGAAAACAACGACACTAATGAGAGTATCGGGGATGACGAAGTAGACGACTCTGACGATTCTCGAAGCGATTCCGCGTCCTCCGTTTCGGAGGCACTGGAGTCGTTGATGGAGACGGAGACGGAGGGCGGGCGGGGCGGAGAGGGTGGCGAGCAGCGGGTGGAGGCGGCCGCGTCGCTGGCCGCGTCCCTGCAGCCGACGGGCACCACGCTATCGGAGACGGCGGTGGGCACGCCGGTGCCACGACTGCTGCGGCACGCGCTGCGCGAGTATCAGCACGTGGGGCTGCACTGGCTGGCCACGATGCACGCGCGCGGCCTCAACGGCATCCTGGCCGACGAGATGGGGCTCGGCAAGACGATACAGAGCATCGCGCTGCTGGCGCACCTGGCGCTCGAGCGCCGCGACTGGGGGCCGCACCTCGTCGTCGCGCCCACCTCCGTCGTGCTCAACTGGGAGATGGAGTTCAAGAAGTGGTGCCCCGCCTTTAAGATACTCACATACTACGGCACCATTAAGGAGAGGAAACTGAAGCGTGTGGGTTGGACTAAAGCAAACTCTTTTCATGTGTGCATAACATCTTACAAGTTAGTAGTGCAAGATCACCAAAGTTTCCGAAGGAAAAAATGGAAATATCTCATCCTCGATGAAGCCCAGAATATTAAAAACTTCAAGTCCCAAAGGTGGCAGATGTTGCTGAACTTCCAAACTGAGAGGTGAGATGTGCGAAATTTGACAATGTTCCACTTGTCACTCGGTTCGTTTGTCGTCGACGGCCACGGCCGCTCCGACCATCACCGAACATTCATCTATAATTTTAGGGATAAAATCGCGGATGCCTTGTCACTAAACATTGGCTTGTATTACGGTCGCAGGCGGCTGCTGCTGACGGGCACGCCGCTACAGAACAGCCTGCTGGAGCTGTGGTCGCTGATGCACTTCCTGATGCCCGACGTGTTCGCCTCGCACTCGGAGTTCCGCGAGTGGTTCAGCCCCGTGGCCGGCATCGCCGAGGGCGGGCAGTGCCACAACGACGCGCTGGTGAGTGTCCGCGCGCCGTGCGGTGCGGTGCGGTGCGGGGCGGGGAGCGGCAGCACTGACCGACTCTGTGTGCAGGTGCGGCGGCTGCACGAGGTGCTGCGACCCTTCCTGCTGCGCCGGCTGAAGGCGGACGTGGAGCGTCAGATGCCGCGCAAGTACGAGCACGTGCTGATGTGTCGGCTCGCCAAGCGGCAGCGCTTCCTCTACGACGACTTCATGGCGCGCGCCAAGTACCCGCCTCTCTTATATCTTATGTTCCAGCTCCTCTAACCCCATACAACTGCGAGTTTATGACACACCAGTGTTGCCCGCGACTTCGCTTTCGCATAATTAAATTATGAGTAAATATGCAAATCAAACGTATCTTATGGAAACCGTACTCGTTTCCGGGATCGTAGGTAGCCTTGCGTGAGGCTCGTTAAGTAGCCTATGTGTTCACGGCTATACCAAAATTCACCGACATCCATGCAACCGTTCTGGATATACCTTCTTACAATCATTCATCCATACATCTAAACATTAGGATTTATAATATTAATACAATGTAATTTATTTATTTACATGATAGACTTACAGGTGAAAAACAACAATAATATATACAAGAAAGTTAACATACAGCTATTTAGTTGAATATCGTTCCCCCAGGACGAAGGAAAGCCTCTCCTCCGGCAACTTGTTGAGCGTGATCAACGTGTTGATGCAGCTGCGCAAAGTGTGCAACCACCCCGACCTGTTCGAGCCGCGCGCCGTCAGCTCACCCCTGCAAGTGCCCGCCCTCCTCCTCCCCCTGCCCGCCCGCCTGCTGGGCGCCGCGGCCGACGCGCGCCGCGCCCTCGCCCTCGCCGCACGCCTCGCCGGCGACCTCGCCGCGCTCGAGGCGGCCGGCGCCGAGGCCTTCGCCGCGCACCGCACGCGCCACCTCGCGCCGCCGCGCCGCGCGCTGCACCACGCGCCCGCCACCCCGCACCCGCCGCGCCCGCCGCCCTGCGCGCTGCGTCTGCACCTCCGCCTCGTGCCGCGCACACCGCCCGCGCTGCCGCCGCCGCCGCCGCCGCCCGTCGCGCCGCCGCTCGCCCGCCCCTCCGCCGGGCCGGTGCAGGCGGCGGGGGGCGCGGCGGGCGAGGCGCGCGGGGCGGAGGCGCGCGCTGCGGCGTGGCGACGACACTCGCTGCGCAGACTGGCTGCGGCCAACGAGCGCCGCTGCTGGCGGCTGCCGCTGTACGGCGCGGACCTGCGCGCCGCGGTGTGCGCCGGCCCGCCCGCGTTTCCGCCGCGCGACCTACACGACCTATTGCAGCAGATGAACGAAATTATCGATCGGTTTGTTTACTTTATATCTCAGGATCTGCTTTAATATATAGCTCAATGAATTGCAATATTTGGCTTTGTATGAAATGTGAAGAGAATAAGTGTGCAATGTGCTGGTGCAGGTTCAGCATCTGTTGCGGCGGAGCGCGCGCGGGCGGGCCGCGTCTGCAGTGCGGCGGCGGCGCGGAGTGGCGCGCGTGGCGGCGCGGCGCGCGGCTGGCGGTGCGGGTGGCGGGTCCGCCGGCGCGCGCCGCCCTCGCGCTACTGCACGCGCCCGCCGCGCGCCAGGCCGTCGCCTTCCCGCACCCGCGCCTGCTGCAGTACGACTGCGGTCAGTGCACGCAACCGAACGCCTGCATCATATCGTTAAAATAACCAAGTGACAGCCTTAAATCGTCACAGATGCTTCGCCTACCTTTACTAGACAGAAGAGGGGTGATATTTCCTTTTTGTACGTCACCTCTCCCGCCAAAAATTTTCGTTACGGAAACGGTGGGTGACGGCGGTTGTTGGAGATGTGGTCGCTTTGCAGGTAAGCTGCAGACGCTGGCGGGGCTGCTGCGCCGGCTGAAGACGGGCGGACACCGCGTGCTCATCTTCACGCAGATGACGCGCGTGCTGGACGTGCTGGAGGCGTTCCTGTCCATGCACGGGCACACATACCTGCGACTGGACGGCGCGACGCGCGTCGACCTGCGCCAGCCGCTCGTCGACCGCTTCAACTCGGACGCGCGCGTGTTCGCGTTCATCCTGTCGACTCGCAGCGGCGGCGTCGGACTCAACCTGACGGGCGCCGACTGCGTCGTCTTCTACGACTCGGACTGGAACCCCACGATGGACGCGCAGGCGCAGGACCGCTGCCATCGCATCGGGCAGACGCGCGACGTGCACGTCTTCCGGCTCGTCACCGCCGCAACCGTCGAGGAGAACATCCTGCGCAAGGCGGAGCAGAAACGTGCGCTCGGCCACCTCGCCATCGAGGACGGCCACTTCACCACCTCCTACCTGCGCCTCGTGAGTCACCCCACCCACCCCACATTCTGTTGCTTCAAAGCCCCCATCGTATTCGATCACATCATCTATTGGCTTTGTTAATAAGGAAAACCAAAGTAATCATTGGACCGGCTGGATCATCGATCTGTTAGATTGACTCACCTCCGATTGCCTCGACCGACTGACTCGCGTGACGTTCCGACGTCCAGTTCTGCTATTCAATTTACACTATGTTCCATGTCTCTCGACTGACCGACCATCCCCTATCTCCCTTACTAGATAAAAGTTACGTTCGTGTTGTGTGCTGGAGTTATTCATTTGAGAGTGTACTTTGTTCCCAGTCGAATATAAAAGAACTGTTCGGCGGCGAGGGGGGTGAACCGACGCCAGAAGCTGCGGTCGAGCCGGAGGGCGATGTCGAGGGCGCGGCCCGCGGCGAGCTAGAGTGCGCGCTGGCCGCCGCCGAAGACGAGGCGGACGCGGCCGCCGCCCGCGCCGCGCGTGCAGAGGCCCAGGGCGAGCTGGCGGAGTTCGACGACACGCTGCCCCCGCCCGCCGCACCCGCGCAGCCCGCACCGGCCACGCCCGCACCCGCGCCCGCACCCGCACCTTCACCGCACCACGCCGACCTCGCCGAGTTTGCTACGCTCATGAATCAGGTGCCGGAACCGACGATCTTCTAAATAAATCATTTCTTTTTTGCTTATTTTATGTAAACAACACGTCACGTCCTTTAACTTTAAAGTTATCGATATATCTATCCTAATACTAAATTCTCTTTAATGGTCGCAGTTGACGCCGATAGAGAAGTACGCGATGCGATTGGTGGAGAACAGCGAGGCCGCCACCGAGGCGGAGCGCGCTGCGCTCGGCGAGATGCGGCGCCAGCTGCACGAGTGGGAGCGCGCGCGTCGTGCACTGCGCGACTCCAGCCCCGTCCCCGCACCTGCACCCGCACCCGCACCCGCACCCGCCCCCGCGGACCCCGAGCTGACATACTGGCGCGGCGACGCGCGCGCCAAGGTGCGTGTTCGTCGTAGACGCGTCGTGCAGCGCGATTCCCCCTCGCCTCCCTCCCCGCCGCCCTCGCCGCCGCCACGGTCGCGGCCCGCCGCGCCCCTCGCCGCGCCCCCCGCCGCGCCGCAGCCGCGCACGCGCTCCCGCGGCACCGTGCACATCAACCTGTGGACGCTGGACGAGCGGGGGGAGCGGGAGGAGCGCGGCGGGGCGCGTGAGGAGCGGGGCGGGGCGCGTGAGGAGCGGGGCGGGAGGCGGCGCGGGCTGCGCAACGGCACGCTGGACGCGTGGCTGGCGGCCGCCCCTCGCCCGCCTGATCAATACAATAAATGACTTACTCAAATTATCCTGCGTTTATATTTCTGACGTTCGACGTTTTGGTGCCGCTCGATTTCGTCCGTAAATGCTTGATATCTTAATGTCGGACCGGTGCTTGCGCGACACGTCACCAAAACGACTACACCGCTCCGAACGTCAGGGATGTAACGCGCACCAAGCATTTACGGCCGGAGCCGAACGCGGCGCCCCCACCCCCACCCCCAACCCCAACCCACACCCCCGATACGGCTTATGTGGACGAGGCTATTTTTTTTTAGCTTGTTTGCGTATGTCCATTTAGTTAGAGGTAGATTAGAGTTGAAGAATCATAATTTAGGATTAGGTGCTCTAAGATCCAAGTATGAAATGGTGTTGAGCGAGCGGAGTTCCCCGCCGGTGGTGCAGTAGTACGGCACAAATAGAAAAAAATACAGTTCGTATTACCATATTTTAAAAATTAACCAGTTTAATCCTCACGTCTTTGTCACAATTAGCCTCGAACATTCTCGCGATTACTATTAGAGACAAGGTTCTTTTGATGAACTCGGGGAACCCAGTTAAGTCTATGACGATGAGAACACGAAAAACAATCGACTGTTACGCTGGAAATATTTATTATTATAAAAACACAACAGCCTATGTATTTTTGGTAATCAAATTAGGTACTTGGTAGGGTAACTTAAGTAAAATTGATGACCTGCAGGTCAGGTCACAGTTCACACGTCGGAAGCAGATCAGTGAACCGGTTCCTAGTTCACGGTAAAACACGCTGTAGGGTCGTTTGCGCCGTTTCTGCTACGCCTTAACAGATGGCGCTGTGGCGAGACTGGACTCCTCGAAACACGATGTTGAGTACCTTGTCCCGCCACATACTCATGTAGGGATCGTTTGTTCCAACAACAACCAATCCGGTAATTATAACGAAGTAACGGCCCGAACCGAGGTTCTTGAGGGAGCCCTCGAGCTTAGTTACTCTTAAACGAGGTTTAGGCTAAGTGCCATCTGCGCTCGGCCACCTCAAGCCCGGTGAAGCTGTAAATGCCTCCTCAAGGCAAACAGTGGCAATCAGTCACAAAAAAAAACCCAACAACAAACATACAATCAATCGATGGTTGAATGTAAAAGTTACGATACTTCCTAACAAATTTACATCTCCCACACACAACCCTTTTTCGATGTAAAAAGTACACTGCGTTTTGTTAGGCTCTAGACAAGAGGTACTTTCACATTTATAATATTCATTGTGGACAGAGTTGCGGGCGACAGCTAGTGCTCTATATTTATACATCCATTGAGTAGCTCTCTAGATACCTTGTAACATACCACGGACATTCATGCATATCTTTATATTTGCGTTTTGTTTTGCAGTAGTCTGTCGTTGAGTTCATCAAGTTGTTCAAACTATAAAGTTTCATTTTTTTTATATCATAAGGTGGCAAACGAGCGAGCGACCACCTGAAATCGCTGAAATAGCGAAGTGACCGTTGCCCATAGACATATGCAATTGCATATGCGTTGCCTAACTTTAAAATAGGTGTTCAACAAAAAAATCGAAAGTTGTAATGTTTTTTAAATATAGATAGACAAAAATAAAAAGATTCAAGGGATCGAAGAAAGCATTATTGCATACCAGTATTATATAATTCGCATAGAGTTGAAAATTGGTAGGAATTTGTGTATGTTGTGCGGTTTTATATTTCTGATATATTATATGAAGACGAAGTCGCGATCGCCGCAATGTTGTGACCCGAGATATTTTGATAAAACTTAATTTTGCTAAGAAAACGTGGAAATACTATTTATGTACCTTAATTTTTCGTATTGCAAGTGCGCGTTCGACCGGCATTTTTCAGGTTTCACATATAAACCAATTTTTAGCTCTAAGCGAATTGTACCTTTACGCTCCGCCCGGCGCGGCCACGTGCTGCTGCCGTGCTGCTGCAGTGCTGAGGTGCTTGAGCCACGTCCTTCAACCATATCCGATCTTCCATGGATGCGTCACTTTGCCTCGTGCCGACAATACTGCATCCATACGTACCAGTGTAGCCGCGCACTCTACTGCATTCTCACCTTTAAAAAAACTTAAGTAGCGTACTTGTCTTACCAGACTATGTTCCACATCCATGCCAAATTTCATCAAGATTCGTTGAGCCATTCCATGCCAGCAAATGTCTTGTAATAAACATTCATCCATCCAGGTAAATTTTCGCAGTTGTTTACTAGTAAAATATACTGTATTCTAGCTGATGCGAACACTTTACCGATCTTACTGCACTTTATACTGCATTCAATTTCACTTTCCTTTTTAACATAACTTGGCCTTTGGATGAAATACATGCTGTCTATCTGAATAAACAGCTATAAAACAGTAGATAGCTTGTTTTATGTTTACTAGTTTACTATCTTACTAATATTATAAATGTGAATGTTTGGATGGATGGATGGAAGGATGTTTGTTTGAAGGTATCTCCGTAACGGCTGATCGGATCTCGCTGAAATTTGGCATAAATGTAAAACATAGTTTGGAAAATACATAAGGTACTTATTATGTTTCTTTTTTAATTCCGCGCGGACGGAGTCACGGACGACAGCTAGTAAAATAATAAACTTTAAAAAATATCTCTAAATTAAAAGGAATATGTTATCGTTCGAAAGCTAACCGCGAGCCAGTGGTGACACCATCGCCATAGTAACATGTGCGACCTCTCGTTGCAGGTGTGGGTGAGCGCCGCCGGACCCGCGGAGCGCATGCCGGTCAGTGTCCCGTCGCACCCGCGACATCCCCGCGTCCTCCTCGCGTCCTCGCCGCCTCACTGACCGTCTCCTCTGTGCAGATGTGGTGCCCGCCGACCCCGCCCTCCAGCGACGGCGACGTGTACTGCGACACCTGGGCGCGACCGCTCTACCGGCGCGGCGCCGCGGCCGAGTCCCTGCTGCCCGGCGTCACGCGCCGCGACGGCCGCGGGGGCGCCCCGGGCGTCGCCGGCCGCGACCCGCGCCGTCTGCGTCTCGCCCCGCGCCCCGCCCACGCCCCCCCATCCATGTTCGAGCGGAGCGCCGCGGGGGGTGGCGGAGTGCCGCGACCCCGCGCCCGCCCCCGCGCGCCCCTGCCGCACCGCGAACCGCCGCAGCCCGAGTGGGCGGCCGGCGAGGACGCGGCCTTGCGCCGCGCGCTGCGTCTGCAGCGCCTGCCGCCCGACGCGCCGCAAGCGCGCGCTCCCAACTGGGACTGGGTGGCCGATTTGGTGAACGACGTGGCTCGCGCCTACCGGTCGCCGAGGGCCTGTCGCGACCGGCACGACGTGCTCGCCGACCCCGAACGCGCCCGCCGAAAACATAAAAAACCCATCCCGGCCCGCCGGCGCACCGACGACGACTCGCCGCGGCCGCCGTTGCAGCGACTCGACGCCATGCGGGAGGCGGCCGAACGCCGTCGCGCGGCGCCCAAGCGCCGGCTCGACGACGCCGCGCATCGCAATCCCAAGCATCAGGCTCTGCTCGCGGACCACGGCGTCGACTACGATGCGCCGCCGACGCCCATGGAGGTGGCCACGCGCCGCGCGGAGCGGATAGCGAAAGAGAAGATGAAAGCGGGGGCCGCGGCCGCGAGCGGGGCGGCGGGGGCGGGAGGCGCGCCGACCGCCGGCCCCGCGCCCGCCGTCGCCCCCGCGCCCTCCGCCGTGCCGCAGCGCATCGTGCTGGCGGCGCACGCGGCGGGCGGTGCGGCGGGCGGCGTGGCGGGCGGCGGGGCGGGCGAGCGGCGCGCGGGGGGCGGCGATGCGGGTCGCGCGACGGCGCAGCTGGTGTACCGGCAGCAGCCGCTGGCCGCGCGGCATCACCTCAAGATCCTGCACCACGCCGCCGCGCCACACTCGCAGGTACCATATTTCATACCATAAATATAATATTATTCTGTGGTGACTATTTTCTATACAAAGGCCGTGAAAATGTAGACATGTGCGAATCGGTCGTCGCTCTCCGCTACCGAACTACAAGTGCCAGTATGACAATTGTGATTCACCAATCAAATTGTTTTATTTAGAATGTGTAACATTGTTAGGGCGGTGCGAGCGTTGCGAGCGGCGCGGTGGCGAGCGGCGCGGGCGCGCTGCAGCTCCTGCGCCGTGCCCCGCCCGCGCGCCCGCACCTCGTGCTGGCCCAGCTCGCGCCCGCCGCGCACGCGCCGCACCCGCAGCCGCCGCGCCCGCCCCACGCACCCCACGCCGCGCACGCCCCGCACGCCCCGCACGGACCGCACACAGAGGCATATCAGAAATAAATCATTAAAAGTAACCGACTATCATTCAATGAGGGGTCCTCGCTTGTTTCTACTTATTTCCTGTTTATTTATATGTTTTACAAAGAACTATAGCAAGTTCATATTGATAGCTCACATATCATACTAATATTATAAATGTGAATATTTGGATGGATGTTTGTTTGTTTGAAGTTATCATCAGAACGGCTGAACGGATCTTTTTAGATCTAGTTCTTTAGTTGTTATTCGCTTGGCACAGGACAGCGATGGGTTCGCTGAGCTGACTGCCAACCTCCAGTAATGGAGAGGCATTGGAAGATGTAGTTCTTCTTCAAGAAGTTCTTATAATTTTTAAAGATTTTATCATAGTATTGTAGCGTTTTAGAATCTTGATGAGTTTCGCCAACTTTTGTCATTAAGTGCGGTGATGCTTTCATACTTATTTTTAGATAGTAGTATATCAAAGTTGATCAAACGTTAAAGTGTTCTAAAATTTCAAGAAAACAGTCAAAGTTAATTATTTTTTGTGCTCAAAATACGAATGTTCTGGTCCAATGTTTAACTGCAATTATTAGCTAAGTTACTTAGGTAGGTAGTACAAAAAAAATGCAGGAATATGTTCATATTTGTAGTCACAGTGTCTAATGACATGGTGGAGGGTATCAAATTATAAGAATAGTTAAAAAGTATTATAACTTAAAAAAAAAGTGTTGGCGCCGTTTTTGCTACGCCCTAATAGATGGCGCTGTGGCGAGACCGTATTTGTCTAAACGCGATGTTGAAGTACCTTGTCTCGCCACATAAGTACGTCACGTGTCCGCTGGTGTTTGGTTCGGTGTTGTCATTACGTTTGATGGTTGTTATTGTTGTTTATTTATTTAGGGATGCCAACAAAATATGTTACCACAATTTTACTTAGTAAATAGGTTACATGATGAAGAGTAAGCTAAAACATATTTCAATTACAGGCAAACACAACATTCGCGTAAATAAAGAAAGTACTAGAGAAAAAAGAAACGAACAAACTATTATAAATAATATTGAACTTACATACATAAAAAAAGAGTTTGAAATCAATACACGGTTACAGTCAATGAATTAATTCAGAAATACATATTTAAATATAAGTAACACAATTAAATAAATATTTTATTACCTAATCGGATTTAATGAAACAATAGTATTAAGTTTTTTAAGAAAAGATGACGCTGAATCAGAAAAAAATGTCTATCTCCGGTAAATGATTAATAGTTTTATTGAATTCACATGAAATCCTATTGATAGGTGCATTTCTGCCTACATTCGAGCGATAACGACGAATCATCAACGTATCTCTTTTTCTGCTACATCTTTTAGACGCATTGCGAGGGACAAGTAGCTCAATCTTGCTTATTAATTCTGGCGCTATGACAACACTATTTATGATTTTATATAATAACATTAAATCTGTTATAGCCCTACGATGGTATAAGGATGTCATTTTAAAATGTTCTAGCCTATTTGCGTAATCAAGATCGCGCGAACAGGTACTATCTTTATAGACTAAATACCTGGTAAAACTTCTCTGAACTCGTTCTATTCTATCGATATGGCACTGATACATTGGGTTCCAAACTGGAGAGGCGTATTCGAGCACACTCCTAACGTATGCGTTATAGAGTATTTTAAGAGGCAAAACGGCTTGGAAGTCCCTGCAGCACCATTTAATAAATCCGAGAGTTCTGTTAGCTTTAGCGATCATGTTATCAATATGGTCTATAAATGAAAGTTGTCGTTGCGTTTTGTAGTTTTCGTTTGTTTCGTTGTACGTTGATCGAGTTGTCCAAATTTCGGACAAAGTTGCGCAGGAAACAAACAAAAAGAGATGTTTTTTTTATTTTTCCCCATGTTTGAAATTTAGGACACGATTTATTATCTTAGTTTATCTATTATTTCGTAAGAGTACTTATTTGGTGTGATTTATGCAAGTTGTTTTTTTTACCAAAAATACCACAGTAACTTCAATTTGTTCTTGGTGCCTAGCTCAGGATAAAAAAATAGACTATACTGTAAGTCGGGTCAGGAGGTGCGCGTAAACACAAGAAGTAACACAGTCTTCCTCGTCATATTTATTAAAATATATGCATAGTTTTCAAACGCTCTAGTATGTTGATCTTTTAAATGATGGTGCCCAGTGAGAAGAACGTCACTTGTTCATACATGTGTAGGATAATATCTGAAAATCTGGATTGTTTTCCCATTTAATAGTATAAAGGCAACTTTATGTCTCTTTACCTATGTTGTTTTCGATTAGGTAATTTTTTTTATTTATTTTTTTTTCGCCGTCCGTGCTGCGGGGGCAGCAGGGACGGTTTCGTGTGGGACTCAAGGCCTGGGAACAAGACCGGACTACCCACTAAACCCCGCGGTGTTCTCCTACGCCCAACCGGACCGTGGCATCTACGTTAGTTTATCCACGGCCAGGCTAGGGGGGAGCACCTTGGTAGGGGTCGACTCGTGTAGGGAGGGGTCATATCTTAGACCCCTCCCATCACCCTATGATGAAACCCGCCTCAGAACTTCGATTAGGTACTGCGCCAGATCATTCTATCTATTTATAAGCCGACTTCATACAGACGGTGGTTATAAATTTTTATGTTTTTTTTTTAATTTTAAATTTCGTATGTGTTTTACCACCTAACTCCGCTCCCGATGTGATGGTGCTCCGATTTTAATAATCCTTTTGTTTTGTCATTCATAACGTTAATAAACTCGATGTTTATACTATTTTCATACGGTCGAATAAACATATTTGGGCTCAAACTTTTTTCCATGGGCCCTAAATGAAACTGTTGGCGCCGTTTCTGCTGCGCTCTAACAGATGTCGCTGTAGCGAGACATCGTTTGATTTAATCGCGATGTTTAGATGCAATGTCTTTCTACATATATAATTGCAGAAATGCTGGTATTGTGTTAGATTGTTGTCTTGCGTTCTGTCGTTGTTATTGGTATTGTTTGCGTTTTGTAACTTTCGTTCGTTTCGTTGCGCGTTGGTTGTGTCGTCCAAATTTCGTACAAAGTTGCGCAGGAGTCAAACAGAAACGATCATGAATAATGTTGATTAATGTATACTTTTTAATTTTATACAAAGTTTTGCGCCTCTGCCTCTGGTGCTCTGTGATTTATACTCACCGGTTCTGATAGCCTTGTTGCTCTATAGTTACAAATAGCGTAACGTGTGAGTTTTACAATGGGTTTTGCATTTTTGAGTTTTTGTTTGCCGCCGCACTGGAATTTTTTTCGAACAAAAAATACTTTATTGATAAAATAAAAGTAGTCTTTATTGAGTCAATCTAATTAAAAATAATATATTTATGTTATACAGAAATGCAATTATTTACTATTTAATGTAAAATATTAAACGACGGCTAAGAAGTAAATCTATACAGCAATGTATAAAAGACCTTATAACTAATGTGACCATTTATTTATTTAACTTGACATGGAAAATTGGTTTATGTAGAAAAAAAAAAC